TCTAATTAAATCATTCCTTTGCTCAGCAGCTCTGTGCTTAGACTAATACTACTTCGACTATGTATAAGTATAGTCAGTGTTGCACCTCCACCTGTCCTGCCCAACACAGTTCATCTCCCCAGAGGCATAACACAAGTATCACAGCACGTACCCACGTGCATATTAGCATTGCCATTTTTGTAAGGAAACAAAAAGAAAATTCAACTACAAACATACCCTCACTTTATCACTGCCTCTATTGGACTACTAAAAGCCTTATTTAAAACAAACAAAAAATAATCAACTGACACATCTAAAGAAATAACCCTACTGACCCTACAAGTCTTCAAATGGCAGCCCTGTTCCTGCTGGTGGCCTAAACCAACACTCCTCCTCTCATCGGAATGAGAGGTCAACCTTAAAACCTGGGAGTGCTGTCATTTGAAATTAGTGCTTGGATTTGCAACAACGGTGTAACTCTAAGAATTTACTCCCTGCAGAGTTAAGAAGTCTGCAGAGGTGCTGCTTGCTTGGAGAACAGATCAGAGAAACCAGCCTCTGACAACAAGGCCACATGGTGAGTCTCAGTTTTTATGTCTCTGTCCCACGTGCTTGGTCCCGGCAAAGGCTCAGGACATGTGGGCTTTTACTGGTAGAACAGAGAACTAGAAATGAAATTCCACCAAGTGAAAGTGCCCTCAGGTGCAAAGATCCTGCCGAGGAGGGCCAGAGTCACAGCAGTGCAAAGTCTGCCTTCACAGGGCTGGGCCCAAAGGAATTGTGTGAGGCCTAGAACAGCTCCACCCCCTTATTCTGGCAAACCAGACATTTAAACCAAGAATTTAAACTTTTTCTGCCTAGGCCTTCTTGGGGCTTCCTAACCAAATTATTCTTGCTAACTCACATTTTTTCTTTCCCTCAGCTTTCCTATTCGACTTTACAATCAGATCCAAAATCAGAGCCATTACCTACTGCAATTGTACTGTTATTTTCTGTCATTTTCCTGTATACCCTTCTAAAGAGGAAGTTTTTTAAATACCAACTTTTTTTTCCCCCATAGCCAATTTAGAGGGCACAACATAAACATCTGAAACTTCTTTATCAGGATATTGTTACTTTTCAAGAGTTACTTGAAAAGGTCCCCATAAAAGTTTTCAGCTTCTTCTCTAGAAGAGCTTCCAAAGAAGAGGTTTTTTGACCTTATGTAAGATTCAGAGTAGAATTTTTTTCCCCCTCTTTTGGATGGTTTGTGGGGGATTTTTGAGTTGGTTTTTTTTTTTACTCTCACTCAGATTGATCTAGACTAGCTCTACCTCAGTCTCTGTGACATCTAGAAATGCATATTAATTATAAACCCTGTCTTGCCTTCACATGCACCATATTCCATGATGTGGTAGTAGGGACAACCATTCAGAGACCAAGGGAAGACTAGTTGCTTTTACTTTCTTAGAAACAGGATAAGGAGGTGTTTCAGGGAAGAAGGTGTTTTCTTTTTTCTCCTGGAAAGAGGTACAAATTTTCAGCAACAGTAAATCAGTGCTAATTTTAGGAAAAGTTATCCATATTCACAAGATTACTTATGGAAAAAAAAATCCAAAGAAACTGACAAAAGCATTTATTTCTGAAGGTCAGCAAGTATCAAAGCAGTCCCTAAGGGATGCCTTTGACTTTCCACAATCTGCAGTGAGAACTCCGGCTTCTGCAATTTCCATTAAGCAGCCTTGTTTGGCTTTCTAATCATCTGGACTTCTTCCAGAAATCAAAGCCAAAGTTGAAATCTTCCTTTTTTGAAGGAAAAAGTCTTTTTAGCACACCAAGTAAGTTTTGAACACACACTGAATATGTAAACAGGTCTCAGAATTTACCAACAGTGCATAAGAAAGCCAGACAAGTGTCACTGATGCTACCAAAGTCATGAACATCCTTTCTTCTCTCCTCTACCACAGCATTCCATCTAGTGCCTCCCTGCTGCCAGAGCAAAGCTAAGCGTCCCAGGCCTTTTTAGAGGTTCAGATTTGAAAGGCTGCTCTAGAAGTACCAGTCCTGCTCTTACAAAGCATTGTTTATATCTACCTTCCTTCTCAATTTGCTAATTATACAATGACCTTTCAACTGGAAAGCCATACAGCGCATTTTTCTATGTTATCCCTCATGATGGGAAATGCAGGAACCATCTGAACAAGAAAAGAACCCAACACATTTCCAGCTTTTCCTAGGTGAACTCTACCTATTCTTACACCCTTTGCCTATCCTCTCAGTGTCCTCAGAGAACCTTCAGAGGCAATGCTACAGGGCCAATCACAGACACAGGCAGTAACCTACTCAGACTCCCCTCTTACCTCTTGGTACTCTGGGCTGATATTCTTCTATTCTGTCCTCTAACATGCATTAGGCACATTGACCTCTAGGAATTAACAGGCTGCTGTGTAAGAGCTCATTCCTATTGCTGCTTTTGATTCCAAGTCTTTTTATCTTTGTTGAAAGTGGAAGCGTAATCCTAAAAGAGTAATATGCTGGGTACTCTGGTGAAGCCTATTGTGCAGCTGCCTCTTTTGGTTAGTGTTTCTTACTAGCCAAGTGACCTTCAGTCTTCCCTGTAACACCAACTTAGGAGCTACCTCACTGGTTATGCATTCACTCTCCTCCTTAAAAGATGACAAGAATTCTATAAGCGACTATCTGCACTCCTGCCCCTTTCCTGAGCCTGGCAATGTCCTAGTGTGAGGGACAGCGTTTGCCCATTTCTCTTCATTCTGTGTTCAGGCTTTTCTGGCCTCAGAACCACAGCCTGACAGTACTGCTGGTAAAGCAGTCTGCCGAAGGGGCAAGTGGCCTCCTCCTTGTTCCTTTTCCTCATATAGTTAAAAATCACAGCTTTTGCTGTCTTATTCTTTTTACAGATCAGTGTCCTTTGCCATCCTCCCCATATTATACCCATTCTTTCTACCCAGATAACTCCATTCCCTCTTCCTCTTTTCCCACGTCTGTTTTTCTGCAGCATTGCAGAACTTTGGTTTTGCTCCACTGAATGGTTCCAGCCTTCTCCTGACATTCCTGTTTTTCCTTTCTGGATCCTAACCTCAAATTTCAAAAACACATTCTGCATTTAGTTTGGGCTAAGATTCATACCACTGAACTTTAGATATCTGAAATTCTGCATCTAGCCCAGACAGCTGCTTATCGGTGAGCCCCTGTAGTCTGAAGAGAGGAGAAGGACCTTCACAGAACAATCCCTCCTCCTCTAAAATACTTTTCTAGAACAAACAGGATGAATCACACTGTGAAAGAGCCCATTAGGGCAGTCTGGCTAGATGGGAATACTGCTTCAAGCTGTAAGTTATCTTCATGGCTTCTTTCCAGCATACTTTTAAATCTGCCTAAGTTATACTATTATCTTTAGTTTCACCTTAAATCCTTTAATCTTCCACAAGGATCACTTGATATTTCAAGAATCAGAGGTTCTGCTGAATAACCCCTCAAGGAAGACGCACACCCCAGGGGCTCAAAATCCCACCCCCTTTATGTGTCCTCTCTTCTGGAAAATCTATAGCACTGCTTCAAGATAGATGCTCCTACTGATGTGGGAGCCATCGTCATCTTTTCTTTTAGTCGTTAGACTACAGGAAGGAATGATGAAAGCTCTCCAAACTTCCTACACTGCACTCCTACACCACCTTCCTTATTTCTTTTAAGATCAGTGTCATGGCAACTAGCACTTCTCATCTTCCCTTTGTAAGCCGATGAATTGGTTTAGAGGCACTCCATTACCAATGCTCTTTATTTGCAATTCTCTAAAATAAGTTGTGTTGCTCTGAAAAGCCTGAAAGGTTTTAGCAAGTGCTGAATAAACTAAGTAGTTCATGTATAAATAATATATCAGCTATCACTACATTTTTAATGGATGCATCATGAACGTATTTTTAGATAGCTTATGTTATTCAGAACGGCTCCGGCATCTGCTTCTCAATCCCAATTCCAGTTTCACAGTTCTGCGTCCATCTAAAACATTAGACATGAACTACTTGGACATGGCCTTTTCAGTACTGTCTCCAGTACAGCTTCACTGTTGCACAGGAGACCATCCCACTCCACAGGCAGCCTGCTGACCATGGTGGGATGGCTTCAGGAAAAAGGTGCTATTGGATATTCTCCCATACTTCCTCCAGATTTATCCACCTATATCTTCTTAAAAAGATGATGCATTAGAGATGTCACTGTAAATCAGATGACATGCTGATGAGAGCTTCTACTTCTCCCTACCCTCATGAAACCAGGGGTACAAGAGGCATTGGGAAGTGTAAAAGTCAGTCATGGGGTAGACAAGTATGAAAGCCACCTGCACAGGGTCAGTCCCCTGCCCTGTTAGTCACTGGAGAGTCAACCATGAAAACCACCTGCTCGGGGAGCTGTCCACTGCCTTGCAGGGACACAGTCACACGGGCTACAGCTCTAGAAATGCAGAGCTCTGAGCTGGTGAGCTCCAGGCCCTGTCAAACTCAGCAGGCAGCTGAGGCATCCCCTCTCTTGTCCTCCAAAGGCTGTGACTCACACAGGGCCAGGCCAGCCTGTGCCAAGCCACTGGCTCTCGCCTCCCCACTTACTCCTCTTTGCGGTGAAGCTCCTCCTCGGACTCGCTAAGCCGCTGCTTCAGGGCTGCGATCATCTCCACCGCCACGTCCACCTGCCTGCTCAGGGCTCGCTCCCGCCGCTGCACCTCCTGCTTCTTCTGGGACAGCTGCACGAACGCCGCCCGCACCTCCAGCAGCTCCGCCGTCTTCTGGGACAGCTCTTTGGTAAGCTTGTCGATCCGCTTCTCGATCGTTTTGTCCACGGCCTCCACCATCCTGTTAAACTTTTCCCGGACATGTGCCTCGAAGGCGGCTTTGGAGTCAGTGGCTGGGAGCCCGGGTTTGGATACCTGCTCGCTGGGAGACTCAGCTGACACATAGTTGGCCAGATAGGAGCCGGGGCGCTCCGCGGGCAGCTCCCGCGGCTGCCCGCCCTTCCCGCTCCCGCAGGACGCGCCGCCCAAGTTCAGGAAGGGCCCCGCGGAGCCGCCGGGGCTCCCCGGGCTGCCCTGGGGCGCGGGCTCCGGCGGGGACACCAGCTCCGCATCCTTCAGCGGCGAGAACAGGCTGCTCCTGGCCAGCAGGCTGCTCTCCTGGAAGCTGTGGCTGTACTCCAGGTGCACCCGCAGGGAGGAGAGGCTCCGGAACCTGGTGTGGTCACCGCATCGCGGGCAGCGGAAGGGGAGGCTGACGCTGCCGAGCGGCTCCGGCCAGGGGTGCCCGCCTTCATCCCGGGGCGTCTGTTGCATTCCTCGCCAGGAGGGAACAGCCCAGGTCCGCGCCCGACGGGGAAACTTGGGAAACTTTCCCGGCGATTCCTCAGGGGTGCCGCGCCATCTCCGCCCGGGGACGCGCCCGCGCGGCGCGGCGCTCCAGCCGCCTGGCCCCGGCCGCTCCGCCCGGCTCTGCTCGGAGCGGCTCCGCTCGCCTCTGCCGCCGCCGCCGCACGGGCCTCGCCGGAGCTCGGCGCGGCGCGGGCCTCGGCGCCCGCAAGGTCGCCGCACTCACCCGACTTGTTGCTGGCGGCGGCGGCGTTTTCAGCAGAGCCGTAAATCAGCCCGGGCGCGGCGCCGCCGCCGCGGGGCGGGGCGGGCGGGGCGGGGATGGGCAGAGGGGACCGGCGGGGATGGGGATGCGGAGCGGGGATGCCCGGCGGGGGATGCTGCGGGTGGCAGCACCCGGCCGAGGCCTCGGGGCCGGGGTCGCTCCCCTCCTCCTGCCCCCGCCTGCCGTGGGCGCCGGGCCGGGGGGTCCGCGGGGGGGGTGTTTGCAGGGCGCTAGTAGCGGTCACAGCAAAGCAATGAGTGAGCTGCGCGGGGTGTGTCGGGGAGATGCTGAAGGATAACGCAGTTAAAAGCACTTAAACGGCAAGATACGACTACGACTGGCACGTGCAAATAGGTATAACCTGGCCTTGGCTTTGGGGGAGTATAATTGTTTGTGTGATTTTAAATCATAGAATCATAGAATCATAGAATCAGCTGGGTTGGAAAGGACCTCTGAGATCAAGTCCAACCCTTCTTTTTTTTTTTTTTTTTTTTTTAAATCCAGTCCGGGTTTCCCCCCATTCCGTACTCCGGCCAAAATCCAGTCTGGGTTTTCTCCCCATTCTGTACTCCGGAAAAATCCAGTCCTGGTTTTCCCCATTCCGTAGTCCGGAAAAATCCAGTCCGGGTTTTTCCTCTTTCCGTGCTCCAGACAAATTCCAGTCCGGGTTTTCCCCCACCGCCGAGAAATTCTTCAAACCGTCTTAAATGGGGCCTGAACGGGAATAGAGGCAAGGATGGAAAGGAGGTCCTGCTCCAGGACTGTTCACAACCGAACGGAAAGAAAAGCGCTACAGGTCCTCTCTGCTGGACAGGAGGTGCGCGGTTGCAGGAACAGGGCTAGGTAAGTGCCCGGAGGTAAGAGAGCCTCCAGATCGAAACAAGGCTGCTTTAAGCAACCAGGGGAAGCAAATAGCGCCGAAACAAAAAAGACGGGAGGAATACCTGCCCGGAACAAAAACTGCTCAGGGAATGGGGTCTAAATATGTCCTCAGAGCAAAAGAGAGTTAACGAAGCGATAAAACGCCTCTTTAAACAACATGAGGCCGCCTCCGACACGCCGCCCAGCCCGCGAACTCGTTTGCAGACCAGGAGAACTACGAGACCGGCTCCCTCAGCAACTCCGAGCCACCCAACACGGCCTCGGACCTGCCTTTCCATCTCCGAGGGTGAGGGCGGCAAGGAGGACCAGCTCGGGGGGGGCCGTACGTAAGTGATCAGGAAAGAAAAGCAAAATCTCTCACTCTTCAGTCCTTTTAATCACTTGTGGGTAACTTAAAACCAAAGAATTTCATTTTACTAAAAAACGGGTATGCAAAAAGCTTTAGGGGGTTCTCCTGGGGAATGGGTCTTTGTGCTAAAAGTTGTAGTGAAATGCATCGGTCTTGGTTGTAATTTGCCCCTGTGAAAACCTTCTGCCAAAATATCGTATTAAACAAAAAAAACCCAGAGTTTTGGGAAAAGGAAAACAAGCCCCTACAGAAACAGTTTCTGTTAGGAGAAAAAAGAAAAAAAAAAAAAAAGGTAACCCTTCTGCTACAGACAGCCTTAGCAGAGGAAGAGATACGCTGTTAGTAGTCACACAATAAGACTAACTTGTTGCCTAGTAACCAGGTGAGAGATTTGGATCTCTCCGGCCAGAGAAAACTACATACCCAGAAAAATTTGAACTGCCAATTTCTCGGGAGAAGTAGATTCTCTCGTTTTCTGCCCCTGTTCTGGGGAAAGGAAACACAAAAACTGCAACTTTGCAACCTTCTGGTTGGGGAAAGAAATTATCTCGCCTTGCAGCCCGGGGTGGGGGGGGGGGGAGAGGACAGAAATCCTAAAACCTCTCCTCTCTGGCTTTCAGTTTCCCTGCCGTGTAGGATGGGGGAAGAAAGGCACTGCAACCGGAAAGCCCTTATATCACTCAGTTTCCTTATCGGTAGCTAGCTTCTAACAAGGCCTTTGGGGGGGGGGGAGGGCAAACCCAAAACCTCTGGGGAAAGAGAAAAAAAAGGCTACCTTCTTCAAAGAAAGTTTAGAAACCAAGTAAAGCTCCTACAAGCTGCCTTTATACTGTCACCCTCTAAGATACTCCTACGAACAAAAGTCAAGGATGAAATTGTAAATTTATAAAGTTATTAACCGTAAAAGTCTAAGTTTGTCTCACAAACCAGAACCCTGAATGTGTGCTTGAACAGGCAAGCTGCTTTCAGCAAAAAGGAAAGGAACTGTTACCAGATTCCTGCGATATCTGCAAATGAGAAATGAAATCGACTTCAAAAACCACACGGAACGTGAACTCGGACAAGCAGCAACAGACCGGAAACTGTGAAGTAAAAATCACCAAATACCTTGCCTTTTGTGTTTGCAGCAGAACCTCTTAGTGTAACACATAATATTAAGTTTTGTTTTGTTGTTAAGATAATGTTTGCCTGTGTTTCCTAATTGTTTCAGCAAAAGAAAAGATTCCCTAATAATTCATATTAAGGTTCATGCAGGATTTCATGCGAATAATCGAATCAGGTTATACCAAAAAAGCTCACAGCATCTGCTTTTAATGAGTTGCCACTTTAAACACATATTTGCCTCATTGCTTTTACCCTAACACACACCATACATCACTGACAAACTGCAGAGATACAAAAGGACTAGAAAGTTGCAAACAAGACCACATCACTGTGACAGCTATAAAAGGCACTGGGTTTACATACAGATTGGATTTAAAGAGTTTTCTAGGTTTATGCAATAAAAACAGGTCCAACAAAGCAAAGTTTTTACAGGTTGAAGTGAATAGCAAGACTTTCATATGATTCTTAAAACTGACTATAAAGATATGCAGGCACCTTTAAACAGCTATGACTCCTTCATATGCCTTTATAATGCCAAGCTTTGTGGCTCAAATTATTTTGACATGTATAATCATACTTTCCATTTCAGGTATAGAAAAAGCTACACATTGCCTTGAAAAAAGAGTCTTCTTGCTAAAATGAATTCTCACTTGTGGTGTTAAAAGTAAGGCTGTAGAATTTTGTTCTTAGCTCATTCTAAGGCAATACATCAAAGCATTGATAAGCATGTTTAGTTACCTTGATAAGCTTGTCAAATAAAGCATTCAGTTTTGGACCCTCACACTGGATCATGCAATTATTCAAACCGTCTTAATAACCCTTGTAACTATCCAAGCATACAAGGAGTAAATGCAGTATAGTGGACACTGGTGTCCACCTCAGATTGGTGTGAAGCAGCCATGTTACTGTATCAGTTTCATGCATTTAGCTGTGCTGGGTTTATATAAATATATATTTAGAACCCAGAAAGCTTTGTGGATTTTTTGTTTGTTTGTTTCTTTGCTTGGTTTGGTTTTTTATTATTATTTCTTTTAAATATGACCCTAATTTAGTCTCAGTATTTAGGGAGGGGGAGCAGTAATAATGGAATTTCCATTTGGAGTATGAGGAATGGATGTCATAGACTTACAGAATAGTTTGGTTTGACACTTAAATGCCATCTAGTCCAGCTTCCCTGCAGTGAGCAGGGACATCTTCAACTAGATCAGGTTGCTCAGAGTCCTGTCCAACCTGACCTTGAATGTTTCCAGGGATGGGGCATCCTGCACCTCTCTGGGAACCTAGACCAGTGTCTCACCACCCTCACTGTACAAAATTTCTTCATTATCTACTAAATCTAAAGTCTAAGTCTTCTCTATGTCTAAATCCATGTGACTGATGTTAGAGTACACAGCCAATATGTTCTCTCAATAGGGAAATATGCTTCTAAATTTTTTTTATGCCACAGATGTGTTTCTATTTTTATAAATTTTTGGAAACATGGGCAAGGCTGGTTGTAGAGTAGCAGCCTTTTTGAGGTAATAGTGAAATATTGCACTTCCAAAATCTAGTGTTTGAGGCCATAGTGGTAATATGCTGCAGATTCTTTTTATTACTGTGGGAGAAAGCACTGCAGTAAAGTTTAATTCTGTACTAATATTTCTGTTCCTTGAGTGCAATATACAGGCAGAGTCCTAAACACTGAGAAAATCTGAGAACATTGATAGATGCCTTTGATGTAATTAAGACATTCCCAGTAAATTATTCACCAGATGGCACATCAAAGGAAGTTACTCAAATTGCATTTCAGAGCTTCAGCTAATCTCTAAAGTGTGTGGGCTACCATCCAGGCTGCAACATTTTGCATGAGTTAGTTGTCCTGCATCACCTTGTCTAAATGTGGTGATTTTCCCTTCTTTTGTCCTCAAGCAGTACCAAAAACCAGAAGGGAGATCATGAGGGAATACTTTTAAATTGTTTGTTTCCAGATTCAGGGCTTCTGACTATTTCTTTGTAGGAGGCCAACGCTGGCAGGATGTGACCCTGCTCTGATTCCCGTTTTCTTGGTTGTTGTCCTCTATTGTCCATTATCTTTCTCTGTTGTGCCCATAGCCTTCCTACCTTCTCCCCACATCAGGGGAAGGTGTTTGGGGCTGAGGCTCCAAGGTGCAGATGGATGCTGTACAAGTGAGGTGAACTTAGTATGGTGGGATTTGCCTGAGGCTCCATCCACATTTAGAAGAGCTGACACCCTCCTACCCTCTCCAGCCAATGGTAACAAGAGACCTCATGGTCTTAGGAACAGAAAATGTTGATGACTTTGAAGGAGCCCATTGATCTGCAGCCTCAGCTACATGGGTTTGGACGGTTAGGTCTGAAATCCATCAACCATTTAGTCCCAGCAATTCTTCTTTCAAGGTTTCTCAGAGTTTACTGCACTCTAAATATTTGTTTTGCTGGATTGGGACCCGGCTCCTCATCTCTTCAGTTACCTACTCCTGATGCTCCCATTTGGATGCCCAGTTCAGCTATTCTCTCAGCATTTGGATAGGAACAGCCCTCCTTTTATATACCAGTAAGTGTGCATTGTACAGTGGAGGATGTACATCAACCATTATATGTCTGAGCTTCATCCCCTGTGATTGGAATCTGGAGTGGGTAGAATCTAACACCATCACTAACACAAAGCCTGGATTGACACAGCCATAATGCATGACTCATTTGTGAAAGTTTGCCAAGTGCTGGGGAGGCATTATCCAGCTTATTTGTATGCATCTCTCTCTTTCAAGATCTCTTTAAACACTTTGCAGTATGATTTCCAGAAGGATAAAAGTTACTTAAATAAAACCAGCATGTACCAACCTGCTGGTGCTGTAAGGAAGGTGGAATATTCATAATATTCAGCCTTTTTTCAGGTAGTGATCTGTATCTGTTGTACAGGTCCCATCTGACCTCTTCCTATTTTGAGGGTTCCTACAAGCTTAAAAATCCCACTTCAAAAGTGAAGTAAATTTTGTTTGGCTGATAATTCACTTTACTGAAGGTGGATAGAAAAGGGACTGTTTTAAAACCAGTTTGCATTTCAAGAGTTACTGTAGTTGTTTATCTTCTGATTTTTTTTTCTCATGCTAAACAAAGAAAATAGGTGAGTCAGTTTTTTTTCACTTGCAGCCACTTTCCCCTTCAGGCTTGCAATGCTGACGTGTTCGAGGGGGCCATTTTTATGTGGTGTAGAACTGGATTCACTATGATCACTTTGGCTGCATCCAGCAGCCTCTGACTTCCTTGTTTGTGTAGTGGTTTGCTTTTGAAAAAGGGGTGTCAGAAATTTTTGTCTCTCCCCTTCATGCCCACGCTCCCCACCCAGGGAGCTGGTTTTTAGGAGATGTAGGGAGTTACTGTTGGGGAAGTTTTACTAAACTATATATGGGCATATAAAGACACACAGCTGCACATCCCTTACCAGCGCATGCAGAGGGGGTTGGGAGTTTGGCTCTGGCAAGTAGCACAGTCTCCCCATTCTGTAAAAGCTGGGCCTGAAATAGGTGTGTCTGTTCAGCTCAAGCTTATTTGTATGCTGGGAAGTTCCGTGTTTTTCCTGGTGTTTGAGCATGAACCACAAATGCACATGACGACTTCAACAGCTGAAACCTACCTGCATTTAATATTTACCATCTCTCGATTTACTGGGAGGAAGTAACAAGTGAGTAGTGAAATCTAAGGAATGACCTTAGAAACTTGTAAAAAGTGTTTTAGTGACTTTTATGGTAGTGGTGCCTTAGACTGGGACTCATGTTAACTTTGCATGCAGATATATTCAGGAATTATCAAACATACAACAATGTTTATTTTGCTGCCACAGGCACTCATACCCACCAAGCAGGAAGGAGACTTTTGGTGGTGCATTTTAGCACACTGATTGAGTAGCATTCTGCTGGCAGAGAGAGTGAAGGGGAAGGAGGAGAATGTGAATGTATGTATTGAGTTTATGTGACCGTTGGGTGCTGCTTAGTTGATTTCTAGTTAATTAATCTCTTCTGCTTTAATTTGCACCGTTTAGGCCATACCTGGTGAGAGTTGTCAGGTGTGAGATAGCTGTGGGCATATTTTCCAAAAGACAGGAGGAGGTGGAAAGGAGTGTCAGCAATAGATATGGCCTAAACTTCAGCCATCTTGATTTTTCTTCAAAAAAAGTTACTCCACTTAGTTAGAAGAATAAACAAAACAAAACTAATGCCTCTTGAGAAGAAAAGTTGGGGGAAACTTGTCTTCCACCGAGTTACTCTTTACTGGGCTTATTTTGTAAGGGAAGAAGAACATATCAGGTTTCCAGTGCCTCTACTTCTGAGAATGAAAGTCTAGGCTCTAAGTTGTAATATGCACAAGAATAAACTGGAGCCTTTTAACGAAGCTGTCTTGCTGCTGCTCCCCACACTATTGGCCACAGTGTAGCAGCAGCTCTGGCAACAGCAATGGGACCTTGAGTTCTGGTACTCTGGGACAAGGGGCAGCAGCTGAGGAAGGTCAGGACATCCCTGGTGGCAGCAAGGGACAAACCTAGCATGGCTCTCCAAAAAGAATGTCATATGTTGTTGGAACAAACTGGCCTGGTGTAAGGCAGCTCTGTGCAGCTGATGAGTTCCTGCCCAGGTACTCCTTGTGGGATTAGCTACCAGGTTGCTGTTCCCAGAGCTCTTCTGAAACAAGACAGAATCTGCAGCAAAAAGGGGGAAATTTGTTTTTGAAAGAAGCTGCCCCACTCCAAAAAAGATACTGAAAGGTGGAAAAAAAAAAAAGTCAAGATGTCTTTAAAGAAAGATTCCTCCATTTGGATCTCTCCAAAAGCAAAGCCTTTCTCTCACTGGGACTTGTTAAAATACAGACATTTTCTCCAAAGAAAAGAAAAGCACAAAGCCTCCCATCAAAGCAGAATTTCAAGCAATTTAATTTGGAGAGCATTCTTTCTGCAATGGGCACTGGATGGTAAGGAACACCATGTTTAAAAGTTCGTACCACATGCCTTCCATGTTTGAGGAGCTGTGTGTGAAATAAATCACGCAGATTTCCCAACTGAAAAAAGTGCCCACAAGGCCATAAAAAGCCTGAGAATTGCCATCTATATCTAATTAGCTGATTCGGTGTCTAATCCTATGCACTGGGGTTTGAAAAGTTTTTAATTTACATAAGCAGAGACATAAAAAGAACAGTGTTAAGTTGTGGTGGCAAATTCAGTCCTCTGCCATATTCCAGTCTGTGGGAGAGTAGTTCCAGCCTTGTGGGAAGCAGTGGGGCTGGGCTTCCCCTGCCCCTGTTCTGCCACATCCTTGACATCTGTGCCAGGACTCCAAGAGTTCAAAGGTCACCGAGAGGCCAAAAGGTCACAAAGAGGTCAAATGACACAAAAAAAAAATCAAAGGTCATCTAAAGGTCGAAGGTCACAAAAGGTAAATGTGGTCCAGAGATCACTTTGGGGGGGGATGCACTTTCTGATATGGCTGATATTAAAGCCTCAGTAATGGAGAGAAGAATCCACAGCTCATCCCACTTCAGTTTTAGTTTCTTTGAAAATGCTGCTTGTTCCTATACTCAGGCCAACTAGTGCTGTCACATAGTCTGAAATGGGTATAGGATTAACAGGAAATGACAGCATGAGCAAGCAAGTTTCCACACAACATCTGGCCATACAAACCTATCAATTCAAATGTACAAAGCTCACAGTTCTTCTGTCTTTGCTCTTTCTAGAAATTAAAATATCAATATGAATGATGATAGAGTTTTGCACAATCATGTGTCCTCCGGAGT